TTGTTATTATAAACAAACACGACGTTTAAATGAAAATTTTTTAAAATATTTTTCATGACAGGGAAACGAATGGGGAAGAATGATGACGACGATGACTCACAAAAATATATATAGAAGCAAAAAAAGCCCAGTAGCTAGAATTTGTAACATACTGTGCTCGAAGTTCAGAAAGTTAATTGTGCAACTGCAGGGTACTCGGAGAGGAAAGATTCCATTAAATTTCCAGGTTTTCAGCTTTTCCGGTTCTCGAGTTAATAATTTTTCCGCCAAAAATTTTTACGGGGCCATACATGAGAACCACGCCCATCTGAGAGTCGAATTTGAAATCTTCAAGTTTTACGTAGGTTAAGAACATCTCCTTCAAATTTTAGCCTCCCTTGTCTGGTCGCCGAGCTAGCAATTTTCTTGCCAAAACTTCCACATGCTAGTGCGCGGGGCCCAGACGTGGATGAAGGTTAGTATCGCGGTCGTGTGGTGGCACTTGGCCGGGGTACTCACTGACAAAATTTCTGACGCCGAAGCTTACTTGGTTGTCGAGTTGAAATATCCGGACAGACACACACACACAAATACACCATGTGTCGTCATGACATGCTTTTTTGCATTTGCATATTATGCAAAAAGTCATATCAGTAATAATAATGGCAATAATATTAAATGCAAAAACAATGATAATTGTTATTGGTATCATTATTACTGAATCAAGTTTTAATAACACCTTTGATCTTTCAGCGCTTGTTTGTGTCTTGAGCATAGAAACAATTCTTTTCATAGAGTGCATCAAATCTTTCACACTGCACCACTCTGAGCTGCAATTTTTATACAACCATTGTTCAGAGTTATATTTTAAATGTCCTCAGGAAGCAGTTTTCAATATTAAAACAGAATAAAACCCCGAAAGAAATGCTTTTTTCTAATATCCGAAAAATTTTAAACTCAAAAAAATACATTTTTTGCAAAGAAGAACTGATGAAACGAATGGTAAAATTTTAGCGATTGCCCAAAAAAAATAGAAACTGATCAGCCACATCATAAAAAGAAATACTGCTCGCGTTCATCATCTGATTTCGCTGCTTTCTGGAAAGGTCTTGGGGAAAATTTATGAGAACTACACAAAAACACACAAACTTTAGCATGATATCATTATACTGGTGAAATAATCCACCAATAAACAACCGTCTCCCAGCACCATACCTGAAAATTAAAGCCAAATGATAGTAGTTTGTAGCAGTTGCAGGAGTGTATGGTTTAAAAGTGTAAATGGGCAAAACACGTCGCATTTCGGAGAATTTGTACATAGCAGAGACGAGGGGCTCGATTCTCCCCACGGTCCAAATATTTTCAAAGGGTATGAGCACAGTGAAGATGAATTCGAATAACTGAAAATGTTGAACAATAATAACACCTGAATTTCTCTAACAAAAAATGATACAACATTTTAATTATTATTTATTATTAGCATCATCAGCTTTTCAGTATTTTAATTGCTTATTTACTATTATTAAAATTTATGCAATACATCAATAACTCGAATGTATGGCTTGCTGTTAATGCGGAGAGTCGAAGTCAGCAGGATAGTTTTAGTCTGCGCCTTTGGAGGATTTCCCGAATGTAGATCAGTGACGAACTAGTAATCATTACAAGTATTTAAGTATCAAGTAAATATACAACATTTTAGCAGTGAAATAACTTTTAAATAATAAGATGATTTTTGAAATTTTTTTGTATTTTTTAATGTTCGTTTTCAGATTTTTGAAATTTTACTAATATTTTTAATAGCCTTAATAGCATTTAATTTCAGTAGTAATTTTGTCAACTTCTAATAAATAGCTTATAATTTTTGTGCTGAACTAAATTATTACTTGGCATTTAATCAAAGAGAATTCGAATGCGAAAAGTCGCTTATACAGCATGGTACAAACTGAAAATAACCATATAGTTAACGAATCGGGTGTATGTCCTGGTGTATGTAGCACTTTCAGCTCGTCAGAATCCATATCGCCAAGTCTAATTACCTCTTCGTCCGCTAACCATCTTGTTACTTTGTACGGCCGAACCGAAAAAGTATGTGTTTCTTGTCAATTAGGCAAATATATATTCTGATGCTTTGATCAGCTGCAATTCACAGCCTGACTCAACACCTTGCAACTTTTTCATTTACTTTTGCCAATGGTCAGCTTGCTAGCAACTTCAGGCCAAAGCTTCTACCTACAGTAGTGCAATAAAGTTGAGTAAATAAAATTTTAATAGTTAAACCTGCCAATCGTACTGATTATCGTGAAGCTGTGTGTAGTATGGATTTCTATCGGATGCGCATAGTGCCTCTACATTATCCGAAAGGCCACCATGGCCGAGGCATGAAAATTGCCAATTTGCACCAATCTGACAGCCATGCAAATTAAGTGCAAAATAATAATTCAGTATTTATGACGACAAGCAGTGTGTATCGAGATGTACTGATTTGAATTTTGAGCAAACCGCGCTAGTACTGGATACTTGAAATCCAAAAAGCGAGACCTGTTCAGGATGATTGTGGGTATTCACGACCAGGAGCATCTTCTTTCGCCTCTTCAAACCGAACTGGGATTCCACGTACTTGTACAAATTACTCGTTCCACATCCGGTATCCAGAAGTAGTGCTGCAGTCCATAAATTAAATAAATGGCCAACGCACCGACTGCCGGAGCGAAGATGCGTTTTTTTTTGCGTAGTCCCCAGCAGATTTTTGTCGCTAACGGCATTAGTTTTCCCAACAGATGCTTTTAGTTAAGAGAATTAAGACTGGTCACCAGGATTGTCAGAAAGTATCCCTTTTTAATTTCAGCTTTTTAGCTTTTCTGGTTCCCGAATTAGTAGCTTACTCGCAAAAAACTTTATTGGGTCCGTACGTGGATAACACGCGAATAAGAGCGCCCATTTTGGGGATTGGGGTGAGTACGTGCATGCAGATTAAGTTCCCAAAGTTTCAGTCCTGTAGTTTTCGTAGATCTCGAGGTGAAAAATCAGTACAGACGAGCACATAGGCATTAGCACGCACAGACAGCCCCTCGTCAATATACGTTTTCTGCATTGCTTAAATGCAAAAAAAAAAACGCATAAAAATGCGTCATATTTTGAATCACTCCTCGATAAACTGGATGAGTCGCAAATTAGCAGGCACTTCAACTAAGCAAAATCAAGCGTCTTCGTCGCTGAAAGTTAAAAGTCGCCGCTGAGTTCATCTGCTTCATTTATATCAAAGGGTCAAAGGGTCCAACAAGTTACGCAAAAGGCACAACGACCTGTTCTTTTCTGAAGATTTTGCGGTAAATATGGGCGTGTTCTGGACCAAGAACCTTTAATTGTTGCAAGGAAAAGAATAGGCAAGCCACTTTGTGAGTTATTTGCATCTTGGACAGACACATTTTTCTTTCAAAATAATTCCACGTGTCATATTGTTTCGCTGTTGGTCGTTGAGTAAATGTTGACCTTTTTGAGTACCAATGATGAGGTACATCAGCGGGCCATGTTTACAATAATCTTCTTCACGAATGCAATATACGTTGGTGGATAATTGTTCCACTCGATATCCTTCCACGTAATCGTCACTCATTTAGCAAACAATTCGAATAAATCAGGATTGCAAGTAATGCTTTTTGATCTCTGTCGGGCTGTTTGACTTATTGTTTCCGGAGAAAATCTGAATGTTAGGATCACCAACAGGCCAATTATCAGGTGATGCAGCAATGATCACAACAATTTTCAAACTCGAAATACCCATCAATCGCAAAAAAGTTTGTAAAAACAAGGAAAATGATGGTTCATTATTCGAACAGACATCTCAGTGTGCTAAATTTTCTTTTCGGAAAATCAGCCGC